AGGTCCCTTCCAATCCACACCTTTCTGTGATTCTCTGATTTTTGAGCCCAGAGCTCTACACCGGTGAAACCCTTTGGAAAACGTGCTGCAAATGTGACTTTAGCTGAGCTCTCATGCAAGCCTGGCTCTTCATCCCTGTGGTCTGGGCAGGGGCCAGTGCTGGAACCAGTACAGACGATAAACTTCGCTGGCAACGAGGAGCAATTATTTTTCCCTTTATCTTCCTGTGACTTACACTCTTGAACAGTAACAAGATTTAGTGCGAATGGTCTCGTTCTCTTGGTCACTCACACACGCTCTTCCTGGCAAGAGGGGAGTGTGTGTTGTGTGAGTCAGGCCCCTGGGACTGCCCCTTCTGCTGCTGCTTGGCTCTTGCCTATTTCCAGTGATGATTTTTTTTTTTTTTCCTTGCAAACAACGAGCGACTCGGGGTCCACTTGCATGTTAGTTAGTGAATGATGCATCCCTTCCTGTGAGAGCAGCTCTCCCAGCTTCCTGCTGCACTGCTAATGCTGCCTGGCACACGGCTGAATCACTGTGGAAGAGCCAGGGCTCCTCAGGGCAGCGTGCAAGATCTTCCTCAGCACAAGCACAGAGAGTGTTTTGGTCTCCAGTAATTTCATTTCCTTTGATTTCTCCCGTTCCAGCTGGGCCGATGCACAAACAGTGTGGTTAAGTATGAACTGATGCGCCCGTCTAACAAAGTCCAGCTTTTGGTGCTGTGTGAGGACCATAGAGGGAGGATGGTGAAACACCAGTGTTGCCCTGGCTGTGGATACTTTTGCACTGCAGTAAGTCCGTGCTCTCAATCTAGGGAAGGGGGTGCCTGTCGCAGTAGCCTGGAAGCTGAAGGTGGAGATGGTACCTAAAGGGCTTTGCTGACTCCCTGGCATCAGCTCCACCTCGTTCCACAGCACATCAGGAGGTGTTTGCAGTAGGAATGTGTGTGAGGGTAGCTGAAATCGTCGCCTTTATCGTCCCGGAGACCCCAAGGGGTGTCACAAAAAGGGTTTTCACATGGTGGAAGTCTTGCCTTAGGAGTTTCTTTGGTTGGTTTTTTCTGTTCTCTGTACAGATCAATCACACCAAAAAAATGTATTAGCTTGGTTTGGAAAAAAAATCTGTGAGCCCTCTGTGTCCTCCTCCCTGGTTTAGGTGGGAACCTGAGTGATGGCACTGGACCAAGGCAGTGTTTGAGATCTCAATTAGATTAGATTAGATATTAGGAAGATAGATTAAATATTAGGGAACAACCTTCCCTGTGAGGGTGGGGAGGCCCTGGCACAGGTTGCCCAGAGAAGCTGTGGCTGCCCCATCCCTGGAAGTGTCCAAGGCCAGGTTGGACAGGGCTTGGAGCAACCTGGGCTAGTGGAAGGTATCCCTGCCCGTGGCAGGGGGGTTGGAATGGGATGATTTTTAAGGTCCCTTCCAACCCAAACCAATCTGTGTTTCTGTGATCTCCTGCTGCTTCTTCCACCTCTGACACCGAGGCTTCTAATGGCCTTGGTCTGGTCCTTCAGTGGTCAGTGTCCTTGTTTCCCTGTTGGTAAAGCTGAAAAGCACCAATTGAGGCCTCACAGGGTGATGATGAGCCTTAATTGTCTGATGCTGGTGTTTTTCAGGATGACTCAAGGGAAGATGCTGCAGTAGTGTCAAGCATTATTGTAGCAAGTGGAGACATCCTGGGTTTTCCTGCTGAGTCAAAGATCATTGAAAAGATGAAATCCCTAAAACTCTTAAAGGCATTTTGCAAAGCTGAAATAGAGTTAATTAGGTTGCTTGGGAGGACTGTGAGTTCAGGAGAAGAGTGGGTTTAACTGGCCTTTCCTTGCACGCTTGTACATCTCTCAGTGCCTTGTCCTGGTCCCCAGAGGTGAACCTGGGAGTGTCTGTGCCATCCATCACTAACCCAGAGCCCAGCAGGGCTTCAGGTAGCACTGATACCTCAGGGCAGGGAATTCTGGGGTCCCTGCAGGTCAGTTGGAAGGACATTGTTGGAAAGGGAAAATAATTTGAAGAGAAGTTGCCCAGTTTGTTGCATGAGCAGTCAGTCACCTTATTGGGGTTAAACAGCAGATGGGGTTGGTCCAGGCAGAGAAGCTGCATAATTTAGGTTACACTGGGGTCAAGGACCGATTTAATGAGATTCCTGTAGATCCTTTTGTGTGCAGCTTTGTTGGGTGGTTTTAGTGCTGGCTCAGCACACAGGTCTGAAGTTTCCTTTTGCAGTTTTTGGGGGTGTCCTTACAGTGCACTGGCACTTCTAGAAACAGAAGCGACAACTTCAAGCGTTTGAGGAAAGAGCTGGAAATTGGGACTTCTCGGTTCTCTTTCCCGATTCCAAAACCTTGCTTTGCAGTCCCCAACCGAGTGAGTTTTTTCCCTCTTCACCTTGGTTTTGTTCTCTTCTCAAGAAGTGGCAGTGCTTGCTTACTGTACTGGACGTTTTCAGGGGCAGGAGTGGTGGTGAGTGGAGCATGTGGCAGGGCTGAGGGCCGCGCTGGGCGAGGTGTGAACCCCTTCTCTGTGGTTCTTGCAGGGCACTTTCATGGAGTGTCAGCCGGAGAGCAGCATCTCCCACCGCTTCCACAAGAGCTGTGCCTCCCAGGTCAACGACACGAGCTACTGCCCACACTGTGGGGAAGAGGCCTCCAAGGCCAAGGAGGTGACAATAGCAAAGGCTGACACGACCTCCACGGTGTCCCTGACCTACGAGCAGCAGAAACCGGCGGCTGTGGAGGGAAGGGCCGACACCACGACGGGGAGGTGAGCTGGGGCATCTCAAACCTCGGGCCAGACCAGGCTTTCCATTTGAGTTCTTGTGCTCCTCCTGATGAGCAGAGGGCTTCCTGGTCCTGCTCTCACAAAATGTTCTGGTTTAAAGGTAAACCAGCAGGGGAAACGAACTCAACTCAAAAGTCAGAATAACAATTTCATGAAATAATACAATAAGTACGATTATACAGACAAACAGTTGGTCTTAACCCACAAAACCCAAATGTATAACCCAGCACCCTGGGGCATGAACAGAGTGGTGTTTGTTGGGCCCCCTGAGTCCAAAGGGAAAGGAGAGGGGAAAACCTGTTGGTGAGAGTGCTGGTGCAGTCTGGTTGAAGAGTGGTGGTTGCAGTCCAGTCGAGAGTGGTGGTCTGCAGTTTGGTTGAGTGGTGATCTGCAGTCTTCCTCTGGATCCCACGGGTGGTTCCAAAAGTTCCAAGACTCCAAGATTATATATTCTCCAGTTCAGGCAGGAATGCTCAGTACTTCCCCCAGGGCAAAAAAGGCACAAAAGAGGGAGGTACCCTCCTATCTCGCAGGCCTCTTAACACCTGGTTTATAGCCTGAGGGGTCAGGGCTGCTCTGGGCAGAGGGTGCAAATAGTCTGTTGATACCAGTTTCTGGGCAATGGCATGGAAGGCTGTAGAATACACAGTTTTGGGTTACACCCATCCAGTGGTGAACTGGGCCCAGCTGTTCTAACTAGGACACAAGCCAAGCTCAGCTGCAGGGTCAGGGATAGGGTTTGGGTTAGGGATAGGGTTAGGGTCAGGGATAGGGTCAGGGATAGGGATAGGGTCAGGGTTAGGGATAGGGTCAGGGTTAGGGATAGGGTTTGGGTTAGGGTTAGGGATAGGGTTTGGGTTAGGGATAGGGTTTGGGTTAGGGATAGGGTTTGGGTTAGGGATAGGGTTAAGGATAGGGTCAGGATTAGGGATAGGGTCAGGGTTAGGGATAGGGTTTGGGTTAGAGTGTGTTTTGTGCCGCTCACTGTGTTGGAGAAGATCACACCAACCACATGATGAACTGGGGCAGAGGTACCAGAGATGGGGGTGTTCAGGATTTAAACTTTCCTTCCTCTTATGGGATAATTTCATTCTTAAGGAGTGAAATAGTAGTGGAACTAGTCGATGTTGCCAGGTGTGCTCAGTGACAGGGATTTTCCTGCAGCACCTGGCTGTAGCTCTGTAGCTCCTGACTCACACAAGTGTAAAGAGTGGGGGAAAACAAAGAGGAAAACACAAATCAAGCCAACCTTGTGTTGAACAGTGCTCTGACTTCCCATCTCATCTGGTCTTGTTCAGGTGGCTTTTTTGACTTGCCCCATGTTCCTGGTTTTCCTGTAGAACAGAGTCCATCAAAATGCAATCACTGGGCAGTGCAGTTCTTTTTTTGGGCGAGTTCTTACTGAAAAGGCTGTAAAATATATTGGTTTGTGTTTGGATTCCAGTTACACTTAGCTAAAGTGTAGTATTTAAAGTATTTAAAATGCATTTGCTTTCCTTCTTTGGCATGAGATCCACACTGTAGTGTATTTTTAATGGTTGTGCTTTGGCTGTCTCTCATTTTACCTCTCCAGTGGCACTGGGACACGGTTGTCAGAGGAAGACAAGCCAGAAAGTTCAGCTGCTGAGGGGTTTGACATGGCTGGGTCTTCAGTTTTTGCTAAGCCTACTACTAGCCTGACCCAGGGACCAGTTAAAGAAACTCTGGAAAGTGCCCTGATTGCCCTGGACTCTGAAAAGTAAGAAAAAACCCCACTGGGTCTCTCCAGTTCCCAAGAAAGTTGCTTAACTAGAGAAAATGGGATTTAGCTTCTCTGGACTTTGGTCCCACTCAGAGCTTCTTTTGTTCACTCATTTGTCACCCTCAACAGATTTGGGAGAACTGTTACAGCTCCAAAGGTCTTATTGATTTCTGTGGAGGATTTAGTTTTTCCCTGGCATCTGTAACTGCTGGAAGTTCCTGTTCACAGCAGTGAGACCCAGAATTTGTTGTTGAGTGGCACTGAGCAGATCTGGCCCTCACTGGAACAAGGCTGCTGGGGTCGGAGCTGGAAGTTTTGAGACCTCATTCTGGAGACTTGTTCTTCTGTTTGGCTGGTGCTCTGGAGCTGTATCATGGAATCACAGGCTGGTTTGGGTTGGAAGGACCATAAAGACCATCCAGTCCCACCTCCAGCCATGGCAGGGACACCTTCCACTAGCCCAGGTTGCTCCAAGCCCCATCTAACCTGGCCTTGGACACTTCCAGGGGTGGGGCAGCCACAGCTTCTCTGGGCAGCCTGTGCCAGGGCCTCACCACCCTCACAGGGAACAATTCCTTCCCAATATCCCATCTAACCCTGCCCTCTGGCACTGGGAAACCATTCTCTGTGTCCTGTCCCTCCATCCCTTGTCCCCAGTCCCTCTCCAGCTCTCCTGGAGCCTCTTTAGGCCCTGGAAGGGGCTCTCAGCTCTCCCTGGAGCCTTCTCCTCTCCAGGTGAACCCCCCCAGCTCTCCCAGCCTGGCTCCAGAGCAGAGGGGCTCCAGCCCTTGGAACATCTCCGTGGCCTCCTCTGGAGTTGCTCCAACAGTTCCATGTCCTCCTGATGTTGTTCCCCAGGGCTGGAACAGCTCTGCAGGGGGGTCTCACCTGAGGGGGCAGAGGGGCAGAATCCCCCCGTCCTGCTGCCCCCGCTGGGGGATCAGCCCAGGACACCGTAGGACAGACTTTGTCGTGCACATGGGGTGGCAGTGAGGGGTGACATGCCTGCTGTGCTCCTCACTGAGTGTTAACTCCTCCTCTTTTCCCCCCTCCCACAGACCCAAGAAGTTACGGTTCCACCCGAAGCAGTTGTACTTCTCTGCCAGGCAAGGGGAGCTGCAAAAGGTCCTGCTGATGTTGGGTAGGTGCCTCCTTCCCAGGGCCTGGCTGGCAGCACTCCCAGCTCCTGCCAGGCAGCTGCCAATGTCCAGTTCTCACCTCACCTTCCCCTCTGCCCCCTGGGAGTGGAGCTGGAGGAGAAATCCACTTCTGCAAGTGATGTGTCATTGGAAACGGCTTCATCTCTCTCTGTGCACTGTTCCCAACTTGGGTCTGTATTTGAGCACTGTTTTATCCACAGAAGCTGGTTGTGCCCCCAGAGTCACCTACATGTGATTTTTCCAGTCCATCACAACTTCTCCTCTCCATGCAATGGGATATTAGATGGATATTTGCATCCAGTGGAGAGGAAAAAAGAGGGTAGTCAGCTTAAGCTGTGACCCACCAGCAGGAGAGCAAAAAAGAAGAACCTGCAGTACATGGGGTTGTTTTGGGGGTTCATAGTTGTCTGTCACCAGATGACTTTGAGCTGCTAACTTTGTTTTTACCGACAAATATCCCTGAGGAGTCTCCCCCTTTGAAGGACACAATGTTTCCTCAGGATCATTTCCTTTCCACTCCCTTACTTTGCTGTACATTTTTGGACACTTCCTGTTCTTGTCATTTATCAGTTTCTTCTTTTCCTTTTTTTTTTTTTTGTCTAACAAGTGTTTGCTCCATTGTTCCTTTCTTCAATAGGACAAAAATGTTATTCATTGATATTTAACTATGGCCTCATCATATGCAGCATGTTATCATGCCCAGACATCTTTGTCTGCCTGTCAGCATCATCTCTCAGTCTTTGCACAGCTGTGAGGATCTCTGGCCAGATCCCAAGCTTGTGTTAGTTGGAGAAGTTCCATCCATGTTGTAGCCCTGTGTTTGCAGGGATGCAACAACAATCACTAATATTAATTGCAGTTAATAGCGGTGAGGCAAAAAGTCCAGGTAACACCAACTCTTTCTTTACAACTTCTGTTGTTTTCTTTCCTTTTTATCCCTGATTAGTGTTGGTTTTGAGATGAATTGAGAGTCTGAGGGACATGGCCTCTGTAGGTATCGTAATGCCTTAAAGTTCTCGAGTTCCAGGGTGTTTCTGAAGCTCTTGGTATGAGGGTTCACAGAGTCACAGAATGTGCTGAGTTGGAAGGGACCCACAAGGATCACTGAGTCCAACTCCTGGCCCTGCACAGGCCCATCCCCAAGAGTCACCCCCTGTGCCCCAGAGTGTTGTCCAAATGCTTCTTGAGCTCTGGCAGCCTTGGGGCTGTGCCCACTGCCCTGGGGAGCCTGGTCTGTGCCCAACCCCGCTCTGGGGGAAGAACCTTTTCCTGAGATCCAACTTGAGCCTGCCCTGGCACAGCTCCAGCCATTCCCTGGGTGCTGTCCCTACTCCCCCAGAGCAGAGCTCAGTCCCTGCCCCTCCTCTTCCTCTCACAAGGTTGTTGCACGTCAAATGTCCCTGGGACTGCCCTGAGAGCTTCCTGATTTAAATGTGCAGTGAGATGTGAGGAGGGCTGAGGATGGGCTGGGAACCTAGCCTTTAAAAGCCTTTTTAGCTGAGATGTGATTCTCCTGTTACACTTTAATCTCTGAATTGTGGTTGAAAATGTCTCTGCTGTGTTTTTCAGTGGATGGAATTGACCCTAATTTTAAAATGGAGCATCAGAGTAAGAGAACCCCTCTCCATGCTGCTGCTGAGTCTGGCCATGTGGACATCTGCCATATGCTGATTCAGGTCTGTCTCCACTTACATTCTTCTCTACAAACAATTTGCTGTGGTTTTTGGTCTCCTGCCCCACGTGGCTGGAACACACTTGGACTGAAACATCCCTCCTGTAAAAAACCTCCTCAGTCCCAGGGTTTGCTGAGGTGGAGGTGTGGAGGTCACCACTGGAGCTGCTCTTCCAGGCTGTTCTCCAGGCAAGGAGCATTGAAGCTTTGGTGCAGGGCACTGGGAAGCAGGTGGGAATCTGTGCCTGGGCACAGCCAGAGCAGTGCACTGCCAGATGTGCCAGTTCAGCCTGCCTGCACTGCCAGATGTGCCAGCCCAGCCTGGCTGCTGTCAGACTGCAGGAGATCTCCAGGCTGCTGCCAGGTTGCTCTTTGTGGTGAGGGCAGTGAGGCTCTGGAGCCTGGAAGCAAATAGATCCTTCTCTTCCCTTCCATCAAAACTTGAGTAACTCCAGCAGGATTTTCCTCCACAGTATAAATATCCCACGAGTGGAAAGGAGAGAAGGAAAGATGGAAGTTTGGTTTATGGGCTGAGATTTGGACTCTAATTAAGGGAAGATGGTCAAAGCCATAGGGGTGCTGTTGTTGAACCTGCTCCAAAATGATGTAAAGAAGAAAAAGAAGGATTCAAAAAGTTATAGCATTTCTTTTTTGTGCTGGCATAAATGGTCTGGAGTGACTGGAAGTATGTTTTGTTTATCCTGTGGGATTGGGAAACCTTAACAATCTTTGGAAATGGGCTGCTGGGATGGTGCATTTCAGCACCTGGAGTCAGAGCTCTTGAGTTCTCTTTGAAGGCAGCTGTGGGCCTGCCTGGCTGCTCTCACTCACTGAAAGTACTGCACAGGAAGACAACAGAATGAGTAAAAGGAGCAAAATTTGTGAGATATTAGAAACAGTTTAATTATCAGTAGGGTTGGGTTCTTTCCAGAGGGCTTCATCTTCTTGTCTCTTCCCTGCAGCAGTGCAGGATTTGGCTGGGAATGGCCCCAGCTCATTAAACTTGAAATGCCTCTTCTCTGCTCTGGTTTGAATGGCTGTAGCTGTGTAAGAGGAGGCAAAACAAAGGAATTCAGTGGGAGGCACCTGGAAGCAACGGGGCCAGCTCCTTGTGCCAGGTGAAGCTGAGTCAGGGTGTTGCTGCTGTGAACAGGTCTGAGGTTCACACACACAGACACACACACAGACACACACACAGACACACACACACAGACACACACATGTGCATGGCCTGCCAAGAGCTAGGAGTGTGTGAGATCCTTTGGCTTTAAGTATTTGGTGGTTCCTGAGCTCAGCCCAAGAGTTAAAGCAGGCAAGATACAGGACACAGTGTTTTGGGAAAGAGTGAGGTTTTGGTTGGAGGCACCCCATGTTGAGCTGAACATATGCTCAGAGACTTCTGTGGAAATGGTACTGTTGCCTTCTACAGGAAGAGTTATCCAATCACCAGGATATTTTTTACAGCTCCTGCTTCTGTTGCAATCAGCAAGTTGTTCCTTACTGCTTGTGACATTGGGAAGAGCAGGTTGTTTCACTCTAAGTGATGCACCAGGGAAAACAAAGCTGCTGGGAAAAGGAGGAAGCTGATTTTTCCAAATTGTGCACAAGCAATATCTAGAGAGTAGGAGTACAAAATCCATTAATACAGGAGTTATTTAATACCAGCTGTTGGTTTCCTTACATCTCCTGTGGCTGTGGAAAGCAGGAGAGAGGGCAGGCAGTGTGTGCTGCTCTCCAAAGCACGTGTAGTTGCACTGCCTTCTTTCCTGCTTTTGTTGCTTCTTTTTTTTTTTTAATTTTTTTTTCCCATGCTTAATATGGCTAAATTTCAGGAACAATCTTGCTGCTGAATCTCTACTCCCACATCCTTCCTCTTCTAACCAGCAATGACTCTAATTATCCTTTGCCTTGGCCTCCCAACAGGCTGGTGCCAACATAGACACCTGCTCCGAGGACCAGAGGACCCCTCTGATGGAAGCAGCAGAAAACAACCACCTGGAAACTGTGAAATATCTGATCAAGGCTGGAGCACTAGTGGATCCTAAGGTAGTTTATTCCTTACCTTTTTCTCCCGAAGAACCCTCTGTCCAACACGTCCTTCTGGGTAGGTTTGGAGTTTTGGGTGGAGGTGCACAGGCCACAGGGGAATGGGCTGGTTTGTCTTGGGGCAAGGGCTGGGGGTGTCACACTCTAATTTTACTGCTGCAGAGTCCTGGCCATGAGCTGGCTGGGGCAAGTGCTGCCACTTGCTCTGTTGGTTTGTGGCACCAAATGTCAGGGGTATTTGATTTCATATGAGGCCACTAAATCTTAGTGTCACAAATCCATTGCAGTGAATTTGGAGTTTGATTTCAGAGTTTCCTTCTCTATAGAGTCTAACAATGAGGATTTGGGGGTGATATTTTAAAGGGGGCTGGTAATTAGGTGCTTGCCAAGCCAGCAAAAAAGACAGAGGAAGCTTTCCTTTCCAAAGGACTGATGTGTGGTTTCTTGCAGTCACGCTGCTGTGGCAAAATTGAACCCCATCTTCAAACTCTACCCTTTAATTTAAACCAATACAATAAAATGCAGCTGTCTGTTTGCCTTTAGCATGCTCTGGTTGCTTTGCAGTCTTGGAAAATATACGGATTTTTTTTTTTTAGTCCCATAAATCAGAATCTCTTTGGAGCACGGGAACCTTCCCCGTGTGAACTTCTTGGCACGACCTGGTTTTGTGAAGGACCTGGCAGGATTGCACAAGGCATCAAGTGCTGCCCACCCCAAATGGATCCTTGAGAGCCTGGTCCTGAGCTGGGAAAGGGAAAAGGGCAGGACAGGCACGTGTGGGTTTATGCTGGCCACTGTCCCAAGTGTCTCAGAGCAGTCCCAGCATCTCTCACCTGATTTACTCCTGTGGAAAAGAGGGGAGTTTGGGATTCGAAAGGTAGAGGGGAGGAAAAGAATCCTGAGCTTGCAGAAGCAAATTAGAAGCCTGAGATCACGTCTGAAGTCTAGACTAGTTTATTATGTTAATTAGTTTCTTGCACCAAATTACTCATCTGTTTGAGAGCAGCAACATTGCAGTTTGGAGTCAGCTCCAGCCATTTCCATGAGAAATCCGGGCTCTTTCCTGATGTTTGCAGAGCCCACCCAGCCCTGGCACTGCAGTGGAGGGGGTGCTGAGGGCAGGGCAGGGCTGGGTGGGGGCTTCTCAGCCCCCAGAGTGATCCAGTTAAATGTTGATCCAGTAAACAGGATGTAAAAGCCCCACTCAAAACCTGAAGAAACTGTTAAAATCTGCCTGCTCTCCACGGGGCTGAGGAGCTGCACTTGGCTCTTGCCAATCCAAGAGAAAGCTGTGGCATTATTATACAGGCACTTCTGGGGATGTAGAAGCTCCTTCTGCATCCCAAGAAGCCCACATGGTGCAATCCCTGACCTGAGATGTCCCACCCTGCACCACAGAGTCCACTCAGCTCCTTCCCAAAACTCTCACCTCCAGTGTTGCTTCCAGGCAGTAAACTAGAAGGAGTCATTTGGTTTTCAGTCGTTCATTTCCTCCTCCTTATTTCCTGCTCTCTGGGCCTTGTTATGTGCTAAGCTCTTGGGACATAAAGGCCTGATAAAAATCAGGCTCCAAGCAGTGAGATCTTTGGTGTGAGTGTGGGAGCATCTCTGTCATGACTCACAGCCTGTCCATCTCCGCCAGACCCTGCATTCCCAGCTCCCAAAGGCATTTTTCCTTTCAACTTTCAGGGTTGTTTTTTGTCTCCTGTCTGGGCAGATGGCTCTGGGCACTTGGTCTCTCCAGAGCCTCCCAGCCCTGTGCAGGACACCCCTGTGCCCTGCTGCCAGGTGCTGGGGTAAGGCCTTGGGCTGATAAAACACAGCAATAAGTGGAGCATTTCCAGTTGAGACAAGGCTACTTTTCTGATGTAAAGTGCAAAAAATTGTAAGGGATCTCTGCCTCTCTTTGACTCTCCAGCACGTGGAAAGGAGTGGGAAAGGGTCTGTCAGGGAAGGGGAGCATCACTGCCAGGGTTTGGGGCTGGTACCTTCCCTAGGCTTTGCAAAAGCATCTCTTTGCACTCTCAGCCTCTTCCTCTGCACCTCTGAGGTTTGTGTGAAGCTCCTGAGCTCTGCTGAGTGCTGTCTCTGGCTCCTGCTCTCTTCCCTCCTGGCAGTGGCCTGGGGGCTTTTGGAGTCCTCTGTTCCATCTGTGAAGTTCTCCCAGTTTTCCTGAGCATCACTGGTGTCATGCAGAGCTGGAAAAAGCTGTGAAGGGATGTCCCTGAGTGTTTGTTCTGTGGTTGTGTGTCCAGGATGCAGAGGGCTCCACGTGTCTGCACTTGGCAGCCAAGAAGGGGCACTACGACGTCGTTCAGTACCTGCTCTCCAACGGGAAGATGGATGTCAACTGCCAGGTGAGGCCTTGCTGGGGGGCAGGAACTGCTTTTCCCAGGCCAGGGACTCAGCTCAGCACTGTGCTGTCTGGGCAATGGTCACCCAAGTGATGGGGGACACCTCAAAATCATTATAGGGTGACAATTCCGTGGGCCTCTTCCCCTCCACTGACCTCATGGAAACTTTACTTCCAACTGCTTTGGTTTGCAGTTTCTCTTGACCCTGAATTTGCTGTGGAGCCTGTTGCTCAAGGGTGTCACTGTGCTTTTCCTAGTGGAGGGGAGGTGGTGGGATCATGGACATGCTGTGGGATGGGTCAGGGCTGGCACTTGCCATCATGGAGTTTATGCATTTCCATGGGGTCAGGCAGTGCTGCACTGGGGTTCCCCATTCTGGGGGAAAGGCAGGTCCCTCAGGCTTCTCAGGGAGCTTTTATAAGACCATTGACACGAGCTGGGTGTTTGTTGTACCTTTTGGACAGTCAGCTTTGTGTGAAGCTGCTGAGCTCTGCTCAGTGCTGGCTCTGGCTCCTGCTCTCTCCCCTCCTGGCAGAGGGCTGGGGGCTTTTGGACTCCTCTGCTCTGTGTTTGAACTTCCCTGCTGGTCCTGAGCAGCACTGCTGTCATGCAGAGCTGGAAAAAGCTGGGAAGGGATGTCCCTGAGTGCTTGTTCTGTGGTTGTGAACCACCTGGAGATCCACTGCCAGCAAGCTGAGCTGGAACAAACTCCACTGGCTGAGCTGTGTTGGTTCCACTCACGGGAGGGACCCTGAGGGACCTGCAGCAGTGTGGACAAAAGGAGTGTGATGAGACAGGGAAGGGGTCTGTGGCTCCTTGGGAAGGCAGCAGGAGCCTGTGGTGCCTGTTGTGTGCCTCACCCTGTCCTCCCTCCCCAGGATGATGGAGGCTGGACACCCATGATCTGGGCCACGGAGTACAAGCACATCGAGCTGGTGAAGCTGCTGCTGGCGAAGGGCTCGGACATCAACATCCGTGACAACGTAAGGGTCTGCTGGAACCTGCTCCAGAAATCACCCACAAGCTCTGTTCACACACCAAACACACCTGAGGGGGCAGATCCTCGGTGCAGGGAGGTGCAGTGGTGCCCTGACACAGGCAGTGAGAGAACAGTGTCTGGGGGGAGAATTTCCTACCATATTCTGGGAAGAAGTCTGCAAGCTGGCAAGATGTCCTTTAGCTCCAGCTCTTCTGTCACAGCCTGTGAGGATGCTGTGTGGAACTCTCAGGCTGTAGTCAGCTCTGAGCCTTGCTGCTTCTCACCCACCTGGGTCCACCTTGGCTGCTGCACCAAGGCAGATTCCCTGGAGTCCAGACGTGCCAGCTCCACGTTGGTCACAGGCCAGTGAGCACTGGGCATGGTTTAGGGGCACCCTGTGTGTTTTTGAGGGGCATAAGCTCACACTTGTGTTTTCTGGGTGGACTGGGCAGACACTCTGCCAGCAAATATCACCAGCCTGGCTTTTCCAAGGCATCACAGGCACGAAGGCACTGATGTGGACAGAGCATGTGTCAGTGTTCTGGTGTGCTGGAACATTGCAGAGCATGTGCAGTGTTCTCAGTGTGCTGGAGCTGGCTCTTGGCCTGCTCTTCACCTCCATAAATCCTGCTCCAGTGGGGTGTACTCAGTGCTTGAGTGCCTGGGAGCTCCTGGGCCCAGTGTGAGGCTGTGCCAGCTGGTTTCCCAGGGATTTCCAAGTAAATAGAGAAGATACAAAGGAGATACTGTCTCCCTTCTCCCCAGGTTTCCTCAGGAGACTCATTGTATCAGCACAGCTCCTGTCTTTTTTTTTCTTAATACTCTGGGTTGTTTTTTTTTCAGTCTCTAAGGGTATTGAAACCCCAGAGGTGCCTTCAAGGCACACTTGGGTGTGAACTGGGGTGTGAGGAGCTGCTCCAGGCTCTGGCCTGTAGATGAGAGGTAGTTTGATTAAGGCAGGGTAACTGGCCTCCCTGCTTTCTGCACAGAGCTGTTCCAGTGAAGTGCCTGCCCTGCCATCAGCTCATGCTCTAACATGTCTCCTGGCACTGTATTTCCTTGTCCACTGCTCCCAGGGCTTTTTTAATCCAAGGGGTGTGAGTAGATAAGTTTGTATTTCTCTCCCTAAATGCCTCATTTTGTGTCTTGGGTGCTGGCAGGGGAAGCTGTTGGCACGTTTGTCTCAGGGGGCTCAGAAAGGCTCCAGCTGTTCCTGAGGAGTTGCTGTCCCAGTCTGAAGGGCTCAGTTTCCTTGGTAGCTTTAATGTCATGTCTTGCCCCATCCCTGGAAGTGTTCAAGGCCAGGTTGGATGGGGCTTTGAGCAACCTGGGCTAGGGGAAGGTGTCCCTGTCCGTGGCAGGGAGGTGGAATTAGGTGACCTTTGAGGTCCCTTCCAACCCAGACCGTTCTGTGTTTCTATGATTCTAAGATTTTAATCCCAGCCAGTCACCAAGCCCCTCACAGCCACTCATTCACTCCCCCACCAGCAGGACTGGGGAGAGAATTGGAAGGGGAAAAGGTAGAAAACTCATGAGTTGAGATAAAGACAGTTTAATAGGGAAAGGGAAGAGCAAAACCCCCCCCACACACAAGCAAAGCAAAACAGGGAATTCATTCCCTGTTTCCCATGGACAGTAGGTAGGTGTTCATCCATCTCCACAAGAGCAGGGCCCTGTCATGTGTAAAGGTGACTGTGAGAAGATAAACCATCACTCAAAATGTCCCACTTCCTTCTTCTTCCCTCATTTTATACACTGAGCAGGATGGCATGTGGTCTGGAATGTCCCTTTGGTCACTTTGGGTCACCTGTCCTGGCTGTGTCTCCTCCCAGCCTCCCCCAGACCCCCCGGCCCCCTCCCCAGCTTGGCCATACCAGGGGCAGAACAGGCTCTGTGCAGGTGCTGCTCAGCAAGGACAAAACTATCACCACATCATCACCCCTGTGCTCAGCACAGAGCCCAAACACAGCCCCATTCCAGCCACTGGGAAGAAAATTAACCCTACCCCAGCCAAAACCAGCACACTGAGAGAGTTCCCAGGCAGGTCCACATCCAATCCTGTTCCTAAAAGCAGAAGGCAAGGCGAGAGGAGGCTTTTTGGGCTGTTGCATCACTGCTGACTCTGAGCAAAACTGACTCATTTGATCTGTCACAGGAGCCTTTTGCTACCAGCTCCAAGATCACACATTCATGAGGAAAATCAAATCAACCCAGTCAACAAGTTATTTGAAAGAAAATAAAGCTCTTAGCAGCTGTTTGTATCACATATCCATCCTGTCCCTGCAGTTGGTGTCTCCTGATGGACAGTCAGTAAGGAGCAATGTCACTTCTGCTGGAAAGCATCATTCTCTGGGAGAAATGCTTTTGACTGGGATGATGCTGCTGTTAGGCAGGGGCAGAGCAGTGAGTCCAGAGGTCTGTAACCTGTCTGAGCAGCAGCCTGTGGGTGCAACCCACAGGATGAATTTTTTTCTGTAGTTTGGTATGTGATGTGATCAGGGTTTTTTTTCTAGATGGTACCATAACGGGAGGCAGGAGCCGTGTAGAAAACGCTCTCCCCACTCCCTTGTACAGCCAATACCTCCCCATTTAAGGCAAGATCTTAAGTAAAGTGGTAATGACTAAAACATATGCTTTGTTTTTGCTCTAAAAAGAAAAAAAAAAACGGAGAAAAGTGAGGGGATCATTACTATGATTGCACTGTTGTAATCGATGTCTTTAGAGCTTGTCATGGGGATGGGATCGACGTGTGCTGCAAATTGCACTGTAACAGAAAACAGAGTATCATTGCTTAAAATATCTCCCTCCCAAAGATGAGTGTTCAGCTATTTCTAGTGCTGCTAGTGAGAGATGAGTACATACAGTATTTAAGAGATGCCTGGAGTCAGATTGATTGCTTTCCCTGTGGCTTGTGCTTCTCTTTCCAGCACCTTCACATACCCTGCGTGCTCTTTTTCTCTTTAATTTTGTAGCCCTGGGAGACACGCTGGCTTTCCTGTCTGTCTGGGCTGGGGAAGCTCAGCTTCCAGCCTTTTCTAGCATGTTTGTTCGTGTCTGGCACCTCTCATGGATTGATCCAGATTGGTTTGTGGCTCAGAGACAGACGAGTTGCCTGTGCGTGTGAGGAAGGTGACGGATCGCTGCGTGTGCAGCCTCCCCGTCCTCGGTGTGTGGAGGCAGATGGAGTGAGAACTCCCTCCTTGGCTACATGGAGGTTTCCCTGTCCACCCTGGCATTCCCAGCCAGGAGGAGCAGTGTGGGGATGGAGGCTGCAAGCCCATGTTGAAGGCTGCAGGTGTAGAGCTAAGGAAGGTGACGTCCCAAAGCCATGGGGTTCTAAAACACTAAACAGCCTCTGCTCTGTGCTCTTTCCCCTCCAGGAGGAAAACATTTGTTTGCACTGGGCTGCTTTTTCTGGCTGTGTGGACATAGCAGAGATCCTGCTGGCAGCTAAGTGTGACCTACACGCCGTGAACATCCACGGGGACTCGCCCCTGCACATCGCAGCCCGAGAGAACCGCTACGAGTGCGTGGTGTAAGTACAGCCCTCCCTGCCCCTGCCCGCTCCTGCCTGCTCCTGCCTGCCTGGGGGCCTTCTGGCCAGCTCAGGAGAGCCTCTGAAGTGCCCTTGGCTTTTAAGCACAGACCAGGATTGGGATGGGTGGCTTGTTTCTCCCCTGCTCCCAGGGGAGATGGGTCCAGGTACAGCGGCTGCCAGAGCTGGTTGGAAAACGTGGAGTGTTCCTGGAGTGTTGGGCAGAGGGGCTGTGCTCAGCATGGGCTTCCCAGCAGGAAGGTGTCAGACTTCCTTGATTAAAGCTTTTTTTTCCCCCACAACTAGCCTGGCATGATATGGTAACAGGGCTTTTCCTTTGCTTCATCCCTGCTCTGAATAAAGCCATCATGTGTACTCCCCAGAGGCTGGTGAGTATAAACAAGGGCCGAGTCCAACACCAGTTTCCTGTGGGACTCTTCCATTTCCAGCCTGCTCTTCCCACCCCATATCTTTCCCTGCCAGAGAGAGTTTCAAGCCTGGCTGAAGTTAGGCTGGTACCAGCAGGGTACCTGTCATGCCTGAAGCAGGGCGAGGTTGGCCCAGAGCTCTCATGAGTGCCCAGAGCTCCAGTCTGTGGCTTCTGCCAGCGCCTTCACGTAGAAGGATCCCCTGAACCATGCTTAATACAGAACACTCAGGTGATTATTCACTACTACAGACTCTTCCTTGTCCCCTAAGGGCTGGCTGGAGGATGTGATTCAGCTTGTTTTCCCCTTGCATGGTTTCCCTTGGGGAATCCTGATCCTTCCTTGCTGTTTTGCAGTCTCTTTCTCTCCCGTGGCTCGGATGTCACTTTAAAGAACAAGGAGGGTGAGACTCCGCTCCAGTGCTCCAGCCTTAACTCTCAGGTCTGGGTGGCCCTACAGATGAACAAGACTCTCAAAGAATCATCCACTGAGAAGCCTGCCCAGATAGAGAAGGTGGTGAGCAGGTGAGAATAGGGCTGGCTTTGATTTTGGGTCATGAAATTGAGCCCTTGCACGGGGACAGGCCGGGGCTCTGGTTTAAGAAAGGACTGCAAGTGCAGGATTAGCTTTTTGAACTGGTGTGAAGGTCAGTTTGAGCTCAGCAAGAACTAAGCACGTGCTGATTCAGACCATAGTTTGTAAATTCATCCTCTGAGTGGAAATTTTCACAAGCACAAAGAACAGTCTGTAAGGCTGTGGGAAAACATGAACCCCGTTCTGGTCTGGGTTGCTTTTAGGCTTGGAGTGCTCAGGGATCAAAATCAGTAATTCTGCCCCAGGATGGCATTTGCATGGCCCCTTGTTTGGGAGGGCTTTCCTTGGGTGACAGCTCTCTCTCCCCTGGCAGGGACATTGCCCGGGGTTACGAGCGCATCCCGATCCCCTGTGTCAATTCCGTGGACAGCGAGCCCTGTCCCAGCAACTACAAATACGTTTCCCAGAACTGTGTCACCTCCCCGATGGACATTGACAGGAACATCACTCATTTACAGGTGAGGGATTGTGTGTCCCCCTGCTCTGGTGTGTGCATTCAGAGGTACAGCTCCTCCGAGTGGGTTTGGAACTTAAAATGGGAGTGTCTAGTCCTGATACTGCCATCAAATTCCAGCTAAGCCTGTATTCCTCACCTCCAGCTCTTGATTTAGGAGATGGGATTCTGATTTTCTTCAGTTTGGAGGCTTAAGCCAAGCTCTGTGTTCAGCTGTGTGCTGTGGCACTGGCCATCTGCTGTTGGCTGATGTGGCTCCTGTTTATCCTTGTCCTCTGTTCTGAGTCTGGAGAGTCAGGGATTTGTTGGGAGAGTCCCTCATGCTGCCTGCCCACTGCCTGCAGCATCCAGGCCAAGGCCTTTGCTGTGACACTGAAGTCCTGAAAGGGCTGGGTGGTGGAAGCAGAGGTGGGATGAGGGTGATCCCTCTCTGGGCACAGCCCTGAGGTGGCTGAAGTGAACTTCCCAAGCCCAATCCCTGTTGTGCAGCAGCTGGTGGTGGGACTGTGCTGGCTTGGGGAGTGCTGGGGAAGCAGCCAGCTGGAGAGCCCGTGTGGGAAGCGGGAAGCAGCAGGGGAGGACTGAGACAGCATGTTGTGGTGCATCATCTCCCAGCTCTGGTCCCTCCTTGGAGCTCTCCTTGTCCTCAAGTGTGGAGAACAGCTCATAGGGCATGGAGGAGGGTTAGTGACAGGGGGACATCCTCTCCTGAGCCATGGAGCTGGCTCAGGATGATATCCTTCCCTGTACCCGGGGTCCTTTGGTGCTCACTGCTCACAGAATAAATAATGGAGTCAAAATGCCTCTGGATGATGAAGCTGCTTGTCTTTCTGGCTGAGGAGAAGGCCATGACTTGTGGTTTCCTCCCTGACCCAGTGACAGAAGCTGCTGTTTCAGCTGTGGGAGTGGTGTGGAGTTAACCCTTTGCTTCTCTTGCAGTATTGTGTCTGCATAGACGACTGCTCCTCCAGTAACTGCATGTGTGGCCAGCTCAGCATGCGCTGCTGGTATGACAAGGTGAGCACAGCCCCTCCTCCTGCCTCAAACTTGGGGCTGAGAGCTGAGCTTGGCCCAATTCTGGGTTTATAATGGTGCCTTTATAACACCTCCTTGCACAACTCAAGGCCAGGTTGGATGGGACTAGTGGCAGGTGTCCCTGCCCACGACCAGGGGTTGGAATGAGATGAGCTTTGAGGTCCTTTCCCAACCAAACCATTCTGGGATTCTATTTCTTCTTGACTTAAAATGCTTAAAGTGTAGCCTCAGCTCTGAGACCTATGTGATAACACAAAATGTGTGCTCAGGGCAGCTTTTGCTGTGTTATTTATTTGTGTTACTCTCATGCCAACTGAGCCATTAATTACACCCATGTGATGGGGAGCATTTAATAATCCAGGCGTGAAATCAGCTTCCATTTCAGAGCAACATGGGGAGTGCTGGAATATGTAAACAAGGGGAGGGGAGCAGAGAGAAATGCTTTTTTTTTTTGGCCTGCTTTTATTTCTTGTGATCCTTCTGGATAAAGGCAAAGTAAAGATGTTTTCACTGCCACATTGCCAGAAGCCAGGTTTGGTTTGGGTAAATGTGTTCAACCCTCCCGGGAGGTTTTGAGGTTCATATTTGGGCAGGTGCTGCTCAGATCAGAAGTTCTGTGAATCTCTGCAGGTTTCTCCCGGGGGGGGGAATGTTGGTTCTTTGCTTTGTAGCCATTTTATCTACATGTTAAGAGGTGATTACATCTTTCAAGGCTTAAAAGCCAAATTTGTTAAAAATGATAAATCGCATCTGTCGCTTCCTTAATCCTGTATGTTGGTAAAGAATTGAATTGTAACTTTTTTGGGGGGTGTTGTTTGGGAAGATAATGTGGTTCACAGAACTTGGGTGTACTGGCCTTGGACTCTGGAATTTTAGGCTTTATTCCAGAGACAGACTAAGCATCCACTTTTCCCCTCCAGCGCTGCAAAATGATAATAATGATGATGTGCACACCAGTTTTCTGCACAGCACTGTGAGATATTTTTTGGGTGGTGCACAGGGTGATACCAGGCAGAAAAAATCTAGATGGTCTCTTGCTGTGGGTGACAGGGAAGAGCAAAACCACTGCAGAAGCTCAGGTCTGGTGGTGGTTTTGGGGACGTGACCCTACCCGGGGGTTCTCTGGCCTGTTTTTATACTCAGGGTATTTCTGCTCTTGTTTTTCTGGTTTGGAGGGGTCCCAGGATTAACTAACCCAGTCTTGGCTG